AGGATTTACACCCTCGGAAACCCTGTACAGGGTCGCTATGGGTCGGAACCGACTCGACGGCACTTAACAACAACAACAACAACCTTGATTTTGATAGTTTATTTGATCCGTTTACTAAACATTCTTAACTATACATGCACATTGTTAAATTCCTTTTCATACAACAGGAGATAGGGGTGGGTCACTCAGCAAGGTAAGCACAGGCTTACTTGTGCTTGCTTACTAATCTGTGAAGTTGTTTACTGCAGATTAGTAAACAGGTCCATGTTTACCTTGCTTCTTGGGTAATCCGACACTGCTGGGAGAGTTGTCTCAGTGAGACAGGCGCTGAGATATAGTCTCTTAATCGGGCAAAATGGATTTTCTGTTTGTACAGATTTGTGAGACAAATGGGCTTTAGAGGTATTTGCCTATTCCCTCTGTTTAAACAGCTTGAATCCTAAACTATCATAAATAGACAGCTATTCTATTTTTAAATGACCCCAGAAAAGGTGTTTTCACACCCTTATAATTTATTTATTCAAGTTTCTTTTGGAAAGGAAGGCTAATCCAGATGTAAATGATAAAATCTGGGAACTTGCTAATAAGCTTCATTAAGTCTGTTTCTTCAGACTTGAAATTTGTGATACTTAAAGAACTAGCTAAAATGTGAGTTACTGTATTCAGGAAGAATGCATAGCTTTAGCATATATGAGGTTGTGAGAGAATGTTTAAACTACTTGGTAGTATTTGTTTAAAATAGCTAACTTTAAGTATCAGGGATGAAATCATGAAATATCTCAGGTTGCCACAATTAGGAATAATTATTCAAAGTAATTAGTTTCCATTGTATAAAATTTCTGACATGTGCTCTTAGAAAACTATACTAGAAGTAGTATTTTGATTTAAACTTTCTATATTCATAGGGTTTATTAATTCTGCCCTTCCTTTACCATAATTACTCCAAATTTGTAAAGTTTTGCAACATTTCTGAAATTAGAGAATACTTGAATTTAAAAAGCCAGACTACTTTGGAGAAAGTTTAAAATTCCTGGTTAACATTACTAGGTGAATCAGGCTGTCTCTAAAGAATACAGGTGATTCTAGATCCTGTTAGGAGAAAGACCATCAGGAAGGGGCTTCTATCAGTGTAAATATTTTTAACCATCAACTTAAGACTCCTGGTGTGGTACTGTAGGACAAGCACTGGACTGCTAACCGCAAGGCCAGTGGTTTAAACCCACCATCTGCTCCTTAGAAACCCTACACATGGTCTCTATGAGTCAGAACCTACTCTGCGGCACTTAACAACAAGAACCCTGACCCCCCTTCCATTGTTTTGCTGGTATAACTAATGACAATCAAATGGCCTTTTCTTATATTGTTCAATGTGCTTTACTTCTGTTTTAAATTGAACGTGATCATTAAGAGATGGAATGAAATTTTAGAAAAGGAAAACCAAGATGTTGCTAAATATAGTCCAGTTGGTTCCGACTCAGAGTGAACTTGATAAATGAAAGCAAGAAATAATGATGGTTATTATTGTATGGGCTCATTTTCTGGCACTACATCTGACAGTGTTTCTCTGCTATTCATAAGGTTTTCAGTGACTAAATATTCTGAAGTAGTTCGTCACTCCTTCTTCCTAGTCTGTCTTTGTCTGGAAGCTCATCTAAAACCTGTCCACTATGGATGACCCTGCTGGTATTTAAAGTACTGGTGGCATAGCTTCCAGAATTGATGAATTTGAGTTATGGTGTTGGAGGAGAATATTGAAAGTGCCACAGGCTGCCAAAAGAACAAACAGATCTGTGGTGGAAGAAGTACAGCTAGAGTGCTCCTTGGAAGCCAGGATGGCCAAACTTCGTCCCTCATACTTTGGACATATTATCAGGAGGGATTTGTTGCTGGAGACAGGGTATCATGTTTAGTAAAGCGGAGGGTCAGAAAAAAAAAAGGAAGATCCCCAATTAGACGGACTGGCACAGTGGCAGCAGTAATGGGCTCAGGTGTAGCAATGACTGTGAGGTTGGCCCAGGACCAGGCAGTGTTTCTTTCTGTTGTGCATATGTGTTGATTTGATGGCACCTAACGACAACAACAATAGATATTCATTTTAGGAAAACAATTATTGTTAAAGACAAACTTAGTATAGATTACTAAATTAATTGGTATTTATTTTAGGAAGTATATGTTATATATTAATAGATACTTATTTTAGGAAAATTATTGTTAAAGACAAACTTAGTATAGATTATTAAATTAATTGGTATTTATTTTAGGAAGTACATGTTACATATTAATAGGTATTTATTTTAGGAAAACAATAATTGTTTAAAGCAATTTAGTATAGATTATTAATAAAAGTCAATGGCTTGCTACCAAAAATTGTGACATTTTTTGGTAAGACATTTATTGAAAATTACCAAGAATGGAAAAAGTTAATTTGATTTCACAAAGAAGACATGCACAAAAAATATTCTTAGCAGTTTTATTCATAATAACCCAAATTAGAAACAACCTGTATATAGTTCAAGAAAATCAAAATGCTATAATACTACACAGCAACGAACCTTAGTAGCATAGAGAAAATATACAAGGGCAGCAGTTCAAATCTACCAGTAACTTCGACGGAGAAAGATGAGACTTTCTGCTCCTGTAAAGATTTACAACCTTGACACCCTATACATGGTCACAACCACTACACAGAAGTAAAAAGAACAAACTACTGATATACATACCAACATAGATGAATCTCAGAAAGTTTATATTGACTGGAAGTATTGTTATTGTGAAGTGCTGTCAAGTCGGTTTCGACCCTTAGTGACCCTGTACAGGGTTTCCGAGGAGCAGCTGGTGAACTTGAACTGCCAACCTTGCAGTTCAAACGGTTTCGCAGTCTGGCGCGTTAATCCACAGTGCCACACCAGGACTCCTTGACTGAAAGTAGGTAGGCACAAAGGAGTGTATTTTGTATAATTCTATTTATGTGAACTTCAATAACAGGCAAGACTATAGTTGATAAAAGCTAGAATAAATATAACCTTAGAAGGGATATGTGTTTGGTAGGGGCATTAGGGTACCTTATGTGGTTTTAAATGTTTTATATTTTGATATTGATGTTGTCACCTAGCTATACACTTGAAATGAAGGGACTTTCTATACTTTATGTATCTGAACTCTGGATCAAAAACAAATACACTTAGTATTATCAAGCAATAGACCATAGTTAAAAGATGACTCAACTTAGTTTTTTAAAAGGAAACCCAAATCAAAAGGCCATCTTTAAATATAATCAAACAGACATGCTAATTTATTTTCTAAGATTTGTGTCATCTTTTACTAAATGATGGTATTAACCAGCTCATTCTAATTTGATCACTTTTTTTTAAAACAGGTTTTATATTTTATATCTGTTTTTCCCCACTAATATTCAAGATATAATTATACTAAAATCTCATATCAGACAGAAATATATCTTATTTTAAGAAACAATGTCCTCATTTTATAATAATTTTATTTTCCAGGGGGTTTGGGGACATTCCATGCCTTTCTAAATACAGCTGTGCATGTGGTCATGTATTCCTACTATGGACTGTGTGCATTGGGACCAGCCTACCAGAAGTATTTATGGTGGAAAAAATATTTGACGTCATTACAACTTGTAAGTAATTCATTTTCTCTAAGAGCAGATTAGAAGCTAAACTAGAGTCACTTGTTTTAGGTATGGATTAGGACTTTATTGTAGAAGAAAGTTTGCAAAAATAACAAGGGTTATAAAGTGTCTGTGGCGTATTATCATTATTCTTTCTGTGTTCTTTGAACTTTGTCAGGAACTTTACTGAAAATAATGAAGCCAAGAGATTCAGACAGTAAAACCAGCATAAATCTCTTTATACCAAAATTTTCCTACTTTATATTTTTATACCAAGTAAATGTAAATTCATTCATAAATGTAAATGTATTCATTGAGATTCAATATAATCTCAAAATTATATGACCCTCAATTGTACAATACACAATTAGAAGTTAGACTTTTCATATTCAAGATCTAAATAGTCTTGAGAGAAGGTTTCAAAAAGTTCATGGAATAATGAAAAAATAGTGGTATGTTTCCATGAAGTTTTTGAAACATCCTCATATGAGACATCCTGGATGCTACCCTTTCTAATCCTAACATTTATAAGTCTGTCTTTCCTCCAACTAGTCAAAAGTATTGTGACAATGAAAAATAAGGCTAGACCAATGTATGATTTATGCAAATTTCATACTACCTTCAAGTAACCAATGTTAGAAAAACCAGATTCTCTCCGTTTAGACCCAAAAATACCTTCCAAACATTAATCCTAAAAATATATGACATCATTTTTTTTCTTGAAGAGTGACTGTAGTTTGTGATGAAATGGTGATAAATTGGTGCTGTATTCTAGCAATAACATCAATGAAAAAGTCTGGATTTGAATATAGATGGCCTATTGAGCCTTAATTTTTATTAAAATCCTATAACATGATAAAGGAATTTCAGCACATTCATACAGCATTTCTCCCACATGACAGATTAAAATTTCAGTGTATCAGGATACTAAATCAAGATCAGAATGTGTCCATGAAAAAGTTTTAATTGTATTCAAAATTGACAACAGCCTAAATGACTTGCTTGTAGTTAAGTTCCGTGGAATCGATGCTGACTCATACTGACTTAGAGTGCCACACCAAAAGTAAATAATCAAATAAGTCATTTAAATTCTTATGCTTGAATTATATGGAGCTGGTAGCGTAGTGGTTACGAACCGGGCTGTGAACCACAAGGTCAGCAGTTCAAAACTACCAACTGTTCTGCGGGAGAAAGATGAGGCTTTCTTCTCCCGTAAAGATTTACAGTCTCAGAAACCCTGTACAGGGTCGCTATGAGTCGGAACCGACTCCACGGCATACCACCACCACCACCACCATATGGCACTATAGGATAAGCACTAGATGATTAACTAAAATGTTGGTGGTTCAAACCCACCACATGCTCCTTGGAAACCCTATTCAGGATCACTATGAATTGGAACTGACTTGACAGCAGTTAACAACATGAAAATTATTTGAACTGGATTTCTTTTTAAATATTTATTTTCTGAGCATAAAGCTATAAGCTCATTTTAGAGAAAGTAGAACATAAATCAACATAATTTCAGGACCTGGGCAAAATCATTGCTAACATTTTTATATTGTTCTTTTCCAACTTTCCCCTAAATGCATATATGTACATATCCTTCATATGATTTGCATTATACTGAATATACAATTTTATATTGGGCCTTTTTAAGTTAATGTACTCTTAAATGTTATAAAACTTTTTAAAAATAGTTACCTAGAGAAAATGGAGAGACAGTTGTTGGCTATTTTAAATGTGTCAATTGTACACAGACACACATGCATGAAATATTGAAAATGTGGGTTAGTCTATCTGTGTTCATTTGCAAAATGAGAGGAATAAGTGTAGCTACGACTACACACATACATGGAGTCCTGGTGTGGCACTGTAGGATAAGCACTGCACTGCTACCCACAAGGTCATCAGTTCAAACCCACGAGCTGTACCTCACAAACCTTATATAGGGTTGCTATGAGTTGGAACCGACTCCTTGGAACCTAACAACAACAACTACACATACATACACAAAACAGCTGTTATTGGGTTGATTCTGAATCGTGTTGACTTCATAAGAGTCAGAGTAGAATTGTGCGCCTTAGGGGTTTCACTGGCTGTTTTTCCAAAGAAGATCAAAAAACCTCTGGATCAATTCAAGCCTGCAAACTTTTGGTTTGCAATCAAGCGTATAATCATTTTCACCACCCAGGAACTACTAGGTCCTAAAAATGCATTGCGGCAATGCAAAGAGCATTGCTGATAATGGTAAAATGGTGATTAAATGAACTATGTAAAAATCTTACAGTTATCACCAGATGGATTATATGTTAATTGCTGTTTATCTCCTTATAGATTTTTATTTTTCCAAAATTTCCACAGAACACATATAGCCTTTTAATCAAGATTTTTAAAATATCCAAAACATTCCTGAACATTAGCCTAGAAAGTGTCCCTGTTTGGACCATGTAGAATGCTCTGGCACACAGAGCTCTTGAGCATTACTGGAAAAGTCGCCAGTGTGCCCTCTCCTTTCAGACTGGTACCATTGGCAGATAGGGCATATTTCTATCAATGGTGGGAGAACAAGAACAGATGTGAAGACTTTGAGATGCTTTGGCTAGAGGGTCTCTAATTAGTGTCATCAGTTTCCAAAAACTGAAATGTCTGGTCTAACAGCAAGACAGAAGATTTGAAGTCAAAGCCAAAATCAGGCTGTAGGACTATACATCTCATGACAGTTAAGACTCAGGTCAGAGACTTCCAAAGGAAGTCTGCTCTGATGGATCTCTGAGTAGTAAAGGGCTGCTCTGCACTAGAGCCATATCTAAGTCCTGGCATCACTTGAAAGAACACCACTGAGTAACTTCTATTAACCAGTGCCATGCCCATTGCCAGCTATGAGAGATCTTTCAGCAACTTAAAATTAATACTTTCACATTTGAGTATCTCCATGGGTCAAGGTAGACTGCGTAAGTGTAGAAAGATTAGGAAAATAAATGGCTTTCAGCCCATCATAGGCCAGTTCTCATCACTACAATCATGAAAAGTACAGCTTTCATTTTCATAGTGTATTACATAAAAGATGAACGAGCATGGCTTGTGTTTTTGTGCTAATCATCTGGTAAAGTTATCTAAAAGATGGTATCAGATGTTTGGACAGGGCACAATTTCAGTCTTGCCATAGGCACTATTTCTGTAGAAATTCCTCTGCTCTGCACAGTTCCAGGGAACGTGTATCTAGAGCTCCCTGGAGTTGTACACTTTGGCAGGTCTGAGTAGTGTTGCCAAACTCCCATCTGAATGTTGACACTATCCCACCCACTGTCATCCCCGGGAGGCTAGATTTAAAGACAAACTTAGCTACACAGCACTAGCCCAGATAAGGTTGCAGAGTGCTTACATATAAATAAGCAAAGAGTGCATTAAGTAATTGTTACATTGTGACTCTTTATATCTGCACAACTTATGTTCTGTCTTTCACCTTTTAGGTCCAGTTTATTATTGCCATCATCCACATAGGCCAGTTCTTTTTCATGGAGGATTGCAAGTACCAGTTTCCAGTCTTTCTGTATATCATTATGAGCTACGGGTGCATCTTTTTGCTTCTGTTTCTCCATTTCTGGTACCGTGCTTACACCAAAGGTCAAAGGCTGCCTAAAACTGTGAAAAATGGAATCTACACAAAAAAAGATCACTGAAATACAAGCACAACATCTGTGAATCTCTGCTTGAGACTGAGATCTTATCTTCCTTGACAATCAACCAATATATATATTATGGGGTGGTCTAAAACCATTTATGATTTGAGGGTGCCTGCAGCAAACTACTAATATGCGTATTTAAGTATTTAACCAACATAAGAATCCTTTAGACTATTGACAACATGAAAAAATGACAATATAATACAACAGACAACACATTTTTCCCTCTGAAACTAGAGTATTTTTTATTAACAAATTTACCTCTTTGCAGACATATACAAAGTTAATTGCAAAATAGTTGTAGAAAAATGTTCATTATCCCATCAGAACAAATCACCTTGTTTGCAAACTAATAATTTAACCTTTGTGACAAGTATATCATGTGCTAAATGAAAGGCTTGTTATTTTGAAACTGTTTATGCAACAAAAGACTTAGGAGGAAATCTTATCAACAAACCTGGTGGCAGCTACTCAAGAGATCCATTAAAATGATCATTAGTGACTTAAAAATGACAACTTAGCAAAAAATTTTAACTTAATGTCCACCTGTGTTAGCTCTCTCTAGAGCTAATGGAAATCTAACCTAGAGTAAATAAATATCGTGTCTTCCGAATATCATCAACCAGCAACGAAACCAGAGCCCACAGTCAGGGGTTTCCAGACATGGAAGAAGGAATCTATTGTATTGCATTGGATCTCTTCTCAGTGCTCAAAATATCAAATGATATTTTTCATCTATGCTGGACTTCTTTGAAGAACACTGTACTGTTTTACATCCTCCTTCACTGTAACAAAATGTATTAAAATAAAACCTTTAGATTACACATAAAAGCAACTGAGAAACTTCTGGCTGCTCTATGTTCTAATTATCAGAAAACTCAGCTCTGTGGGAGCTTCGAGCTCTCAAACATCAGAAACCTCAATAACATAAAAAAACAAGCTCTTGGTTTTGAAAATGTACTATATGCACTGCACATGTAAATATTTTTTTTTTCAAAATTGCCACAAAAATTCTGTTTCTCAGTTAATTGAACCAATATCATATTTAGTGGTTCTGTTTTACTTCTTAGTTTTCTGAGTAGTTCTTGGGGTCCTAAAAGTTTGCAAGCAGCCATTTGAGGCACAGCAATTGGTCTCTGTTCACCTGGAGCAGCAGAAAAGAGAGAACCAGGAATGGGAGAAGGAAATGACTGTGTGGCCATTGCCTCCATGAACTTCTTTCAATCTCTTTTGCCATGAGACCAGAAGAACTAGATGGTGCCTGGCTACCATTATTGAACATTTTGATGAAAGATTCCGTAGAGAATCCTGACCAGAAGGAGTAAAATCAGAACAAAATTTCAAATTCTTCTGGAATCCATATTTTCTAGAATGATAGGAGCTAGGTGTAGCCCTGAAATTACTGTCCTGAGGTAATCTTTAAACCTTAAACCAAAAATATCCCCTCAAGTCTTCTTGAAACCAAACTGTTTAGTGTAACTAGAAAGAATGTCTCTCCTGAGTATTATGCTCCTTTAAGACCTACATGGATCAAATTGACAACAATTCAAAAGAGTAACTTATGGGGAGGAACAACTTAGAAAAGGAAAATGATAATGGTTGCAGAACTCAAAGAATGTAATCGGTGCCATGAATTGTACATATAGACACTGTTGAATTTGTGTTTGTTATGCTGTGTATAGTCTCAACCAAAATAAAATAAGTTACAGGAAAAATTCTGTTTCATATTTTTTTTGTTGAAGAACCAAACTACTGATTTTGTCCAAGAAACAGTATTTGGGCATTTCTGAATGTTTCCATATTACATTTTTTCCTTGGTATATTTATAATCAATTTTGAATGACTTCTAAATGCTTGTATGACTTAAAGCAATGAATACCTATGAGCTCTAGTTACTATGTAACGCACAGTGATACTGTACAACGAAGTCTGAGTTGTCACGGTAAATTCCTGTAGTTCACCGTCTTCCTCCTAAATCATTAGTTTATATCATGGCCTTCTGTGTTCACACTTAGGAGATGCTTTAGATTATCTGCCTTTAAGTGACCTTCAGTGATTTCACTTACTAGAGGAGAAGCCACTATTGTTGGAATTTACTTCATGGTAATAAGTTTGGTTTTAAATTTTTCTCAGTAGGAGAAGTTGAGGATTGTTTAATGAGAAAAGGGCTGTCATGTATTATTATTTTTTTAATAAAGAATAAAGAGGAGAGAAGAGTGAAAGGAAACTGCTGCTCTCAATTACTTCACTCTGTGGATCTTGTAAGTGTTTTAATGTTTTGGCTCTTCAGATCCAAGCTTTGCTAAAATGAAAAGGTAAGATATTAGACATACACAGGGTTCCTAGACCCAAGTAGAGCAAAGACTAAAAGGAAGCAAAACTAACAAAGGATAAATAAAATAGGAGAGTTTGATTTATTTTCTTACGTACTTTCTGAGCTGCATTGTACAAACTCCCTTAAAGTCCAGTAGGTGGTCTTTGAAATGTTTGAGTTGCCTATAATGAAAGGACATTCTGAATTCTATAATAGAAGTGGAGAACTGGAATATCATGCAAAAAAGAGATTAGAGCTAACAGAAGTATCCTCCACTAGCAGATCCAAATGAATGTCACTAGCTACAGAATTTGTGTGGGCTGTGCTTTATTAAAGTGTCCTCGTATATTCATATCAGGTCCATTGTTCAGGATGTTTTTGCCTTTGAGTTTGCTTACTTAACAAACAAAAAGCCCAGTTACAAATTCTATGAATACTTGAGGGCCTGTATTGTAAATAAGTGCAAATGCAAATTTTTAAATGTCTACAGGATATTGTCATTTTACGGTCTTAATTCTTACAATGTAGAATTCTTAATTTGGTAGAATATAATGTTACGTAAATGATAAAATTGTGAGATTATGTTTCCTTAATGTATCCCTTATTTCTGCTAACTTTTTAAAAGACTGGAAAATTGTGGATATTGTCAAAGTTTGGGTTTGTTTTTCTCTGTGTATTATAATAAATTTGTGACATCACATGTTTATGTGTTTGTATCTTTAATTTTAGAATCTCACTGTGTGTTTACATGGGTTGTTGTTGTAAAGTACCATGGAGTCGGTTCCGACTCATAGTGACCCCGCACAAGGTTTCTGAGGCTGTAAATCTTTATGGAGCAGAACACCTCATCTATTTCCCGTGGAATCACTGGTAGTTTCGAACTGCTGACCTTGCAGTTCACAGCCCGACTCATAACCACTGTGTTACCAGAGCTGGTTTTATATCTGAATACTCATTTAACTAAAAGCGTTTAGCACTTTTTACTGCATATATGTTATGCTCAGAGCTGTGCTAGACATTATTACAGTGCAATGGTGCCTATGACATAGTTGGGACCTCCTGGATCTTACAGGCTAACAGAGAAAAATATGCCAGTATAGTATAGTATGTGCTGCTGGTGGTGGTGTTCGGTGCCATCATGTTGGTACCTACTCATAGCTACCTTATGCATGACAGAACAAAACACTGCCCATCCCGGCACCAACCGTACAATCATTGCTATGCTTGAGCCCATTGCTGCTGCCACTGTACCAATTGGAGGTCTTCCTCTTTTCTGCTGACCGTCCACTTTACCAAGCAGGGTGTTCTTCTCTGGGATTGTTCCCACCTGATAATATGTCTGAAGTATGAGAGACAAAGTCTGGTCATACTGGTTTCTAAGGAGCATTCTCACTACTTCCGACACAGATTTGTTTTTTGGTGGTCCATGGTACTTTTAACATTCTCCTCGTACACCATAACTCAAAAGCATCAATTCTTATAGGGTCTTATTTATTCACTGTCCAACTATCACATGCATATGAGGTTATTGAAAATACCATGGCTTTGGTCAGATGCACCTTAGTCCTCAAACACACATGTTTACTTTTGAACACATTAAAGAGGTCTTGTGCAGCGGATTTTCCCAAAGCAATACATCATCAGTTTTCTTGACTGTTGTATCGATGAGTGTTGATGATTGGTCCAAGCAAAATGAAGCCTTTTGACAACTTCAATCTTTTCTCCGTTTATCTGGATGTTATAGGAAATGGTTAATGTTCAACTGTTTCAAGAGGTAGCATATGATCAAGAGCCAATGATACTGAAGGAGGAAGTCCAAGGTGCATTGAAGGAATTGGCAAA